AAACGTTTACTTTATTATATATATTTTATTCAATTTGTAATATTTTATTACTGTCGCCCGTCCATCGTCGCAAACGAGCTCTCATTTGCCTTGTTTTTTTTATTTATTGTTATTAATAGCGTTATCTTTGTTATTTTGGCAGAATATACCGTACATCTGATTATTCAATCAAACATTTTTCGAAATTCGTAACGCCAAAATGGACCGTATAGCCTACATCTCACAGCACAAAGTTATAACAGTTTCACAATCTCCACTTAACTTACAGTAATTATTTCTATAAATATTTGTAACATAAATTAAAAACAACTTTAATAATATTGATGATAATTATTTGCACTTTATTTTAAAATATTTATTATAATCTTTTAGATACTTTTATTTTCCGGACATTATAATATTTACAAAATATTCAACGTATATATTTTCAAAATATTTAAATTTTTTTTATAAATATTTTATAAATATTTTATAAATATTTTGTGCTGTCTGGGAGTTTAGCGCGCTCAGCTGTTCTTTTTCTGACGGGCAGATGCTTGCACGCTTTTTTCGCATTTCTGTCACTCGGATCTATAGGAAAAAACAACAATTTAAGCGACATTATACACTTGTGAAATTTTGCTGCAAATATGTTGCAAGAGTCTAGCACACTCGACTGCTCTTTTTCTCACGGGCAGATGCTTACACGTTCTTTTCACGTTTCTGCCGGTCAGATCTGTACGGCAAAAACAACAATTTAAGCGACATACACTTGTGAAATTTTGCTGCAAATGTGTTTCAAGCGTTTAGCACACTCGACTGCTCTTTTTCTCACAGGCAGATGCTTGCACGTTCTTTTCACGTTTCTGCCGGTTGAATCTGTACTCAAAAGATACTTCCATATTGTTTTCACATTTCTGCTACATGTTTACTTTTAACAAATAGTATAAAATTTCACAGTAGCTTCTTACAGCAGACTACTGCAATAGTACAGTAAGTACTCGTTCAATCACAAATATTATGCACTTTTGTCGCAATTTTGGACTGTTTTCTTGCGCACTTCTTCGGGACGCATCTGAACTACCAACTGGTTACCGGGCTGTTTTGTACATAAGCTGTTGCTCTTGAGTCCAGTACATACAATAAAAAGGATCCATTTTTATACTATGATTAATACCAGCATATCTAATGTGTTTTGCAATTTGCAAATTTTTTAATGGATCTGTATTTTCCAGCTGTAAACGTTTATCCATTTCCTCTTGTTTAGCTTTGCGCAAAACTGTCCGTATTATATAAAGTTGGTGAGATATCATCGCCATATGTCATTATTTTATTGGCTTGTTCATTACGCCATACGTTGGCATTTTTATTGCCACTTACCAACTCAGTTGCAATTCTTTCTCGCAATTCACCTCTCAATTCTTTTTTTTATAAATAACTTCTGCAGAAAAATCTTTCAGCGTACACTCAAAAATTACATCATTTCCTTTCACGGGCTCACTAAATAAAGTGCCCACAAGTTTTGCACCACATTCTTTGCAATTACCTCTAAAGTTTGCATAGCATTTAGCATCGCTATTTTGATATATTTTTCCACGCTTAAATGTAAATGCGCATGGTATTTTACTCTGCCATATTTTATCTGCAAAAATGTGGGTCCATTTTCCTGGTTGAAACAATATGTAATTACGTTTACGTTTTCTAGGACATGTGTTTTTTGTTCTATTAGGCTTTATTTGTGCCCACTTTTCTTCTGAAACCAATAAATGAAACTTTTTCACTTCCTTCTCGCAAGCAGAACTGTTATTTATATTACAAGAACTGTCTTTAGTGTCATCGTACGTATCTCTTTTATCAATTTCAAATGCTTTCAATACAGCACTGTACATGCCACTTCTGTCATTTTTCAAAATTGTATAAATATGTTTTGGCGTTATGTGGGACCCACTATTTATAATTATCTCACAATCAGATATAGAGCGATATACGGCATGAGGTGGTAGGAAAACTTTACCATCATTTTGTATAGTTCTGTATTTTTCATCACTTAAAATATTAAGCAACTGTTCCTTATCGTACATGTTGATATTTGTCTTATAAATTCGTGTGTTGCTATATAAATGTACTTTATTATATTTCTGATTATTTATTTACACACGAATTTCTTTATATTTATATATGTTTGCGAAATCGCTGTATTTCCCGGCGATGAAAGCGGGATGAGAATGACCCGCGTAGAAGGTGTTAACAAAGTATTTCAGTAATTTTATGTGTAACTCAGACCACAGTCTGAGCCATCTTTAATCCGTCAAAAAAAATACATCTGACCTGAGATTCGATGAGCAGCGTATAAATGAGAAGTCTTTTAATGTCTGTGAGTGGGCGAGACAATTATACTAATTGCCTCGCCCATGGCGCTTTCTCAGAAGCGATATGAACCTGAAACAAAGAGCTGTTATTTTCAATAATTTATTGAAAGTTGAGTACCTATAAATGAGATCCCAGTGGTAGTCCGTCTGAGTTGCAGCTGCATATAGCGCAATGCCAAGACGAGCCTCATGCGCGCTCAACTCGTCCGAAAGCGCGGGTTGAGATGGCCATGCTTCAGGATTGAGAATCCACGGTGGTCCCCCGTCCACCATAATGAGTGGCTTTGGAGTTGAGATGTAGTCAATCCCCGTGATGCACAGTCGGCTGGGTTGGATGTGCCAGGTACGTATTTCCAGAGAGCGTTTGATGTGAACTCTTGAATCAGAGAAACTCGGTTTCTTACAAAATCCTTCCAGCGCGATGCATGAGATTTGATCCACGTGAGTGTCACAACAGAATCCGTCCACATATGAGTTGCGATAACGTTCAACTTCAAGGTGGCTTGAACGTATTGCATGAGTCTTGAGAGCAGCAGTGCTGCGGTGAGTTCAAGTCTCGGGATGGTGAGTCGTTTGAGTGGTGCTACCTTAGTTTTGGAGCACACCAATGAAACCGTGGCGCCATTAGAGCCGTGGACGGTGATAAATACGACTGCAGCCATTGCCAGTTGAGAAGCATCAGAAAAGCCGTGAAATTCCACTGTCGAGGTGCTCAATGTGATGTACCACCGAGGTATTGAGATCTTGCGCAAGCTGGTGAGTTCTTTTCTTATGATGAGCCACCGTGATGAGAGCTGGGATGGCAGTGGTTCATCCCATTGGAGCTTATGAAGCCAAAGCTCCTGCAGGAGCATCTTCGCCTTGATCACCATTGGTGATGCAAAGCCTAGTGGATCGAATATCTGAGCCACTTCAGATAGAACGAGGCGTTTGGTGAGATGGTCGGTGTGCGACAAGATCCTTGTTGAGAATGTGAATGTGTCTTCTTGAGGAAGCCATCTTAAACCGAGTATTTTGGTTTCGCAATCGTCAAATGCAATTTGTGAGCCCTGGTCCTTATCTGCTTCTACCGCAGTGAGCACATCTGGATGAGTCGCGTGCTACTTGGCCAACTGTTGGACAGTGTCAGCGCCTCCAAAGGCGTCGTCGACGTATCGACCTTGAAGGATGGACGGCACTGCGAAGGGAAAATTGTGGCCTTCATCCTCCACCAATTGCAGCAGTGTTCGTACTGCCAAGAATGGGGCAGCCATCGTACCATACGTAACCGTGGTTAGATAATATGACACTTCATTGATCAGTTCGTCTATCCAGAGAATCCGCTGTAAATTCCAGTCATTTTCACGCACGTTGATCTGCCTATACATTTTTGTGATGTCAGTGGCAACTAAGTGTCGAAATTGTCGAATCCAGAGTAAAACATCGTTGACGTCTAAATGCAACTTGGCTCCCGTGTGCATGAGATCATTAAGTGAGCGGCCGGATGTAGATGCACTCGAGCCATTAAATACCACACGTAATTTTGTGGTTGCACTGTCTGGTCTGAGCACTCCGTGATGTGGCAAATAGTATTGTGTGTGCTGACTGGAAACGGGTGAAGCCTAGCTCCTTCATGTGATTGAGATCTCGATATTCTGTCATGAACTGATGATACAGACGTCGATAGTTGTCATCTCGTGAGAGTCTTCTTAGCAAGCTTTGCAATCATCGATGTGCAGTAAGATACGAATCACCAAGAGTATCAGGTGATGACTTTAATGGAATTCGCACCGTGTATCGACCTGTTGAGTCCCGTGAAACAGTGCTCTTGAAATATTCTTCACATCTTTGCTCGTCAGGAGCAAGATCATGATGGTTGTTTGTAGGTACTTCTTCTTGTGTCCAAAATTTCGCCAGCAACTCGTCGAGAGCATCTACTCCCTCCTGAATCGAGGCATGATGCACGGTAGCAACTGCCGATGATGATGTGTTGACCGGTCCGAGAACGAGCCATCCAAAAATTGAGAGCTGTGCAATTGGCGTCAATGGATCTTGTTTGATGATGTTAGGCTTGATGATCTGCCCATATGAGTCCGCTCCAATGATAATATCCACTGGCCGTGGTGTAAGAAAATCTGGATCAGCCAAGGTTAACTTGGTGAGATGCGGCCATTCCTGGGATGCAGCGTTGAATGATGGCAGGATGTTCGTTAACGTCTGCAGAATGTGAGCTTGAATGATGACGTCTGATCTTAAGTGAAGTGAGCGGAGCTTAAGCAATGCAACTCCTCGAGTTTGCGTCGCCTTTCCGCCACCAATTCCAGTGATGAGAATGACGGAATGATGACGAGGAATGTTGAGCTGACGAATGAGTGATTCAGAGACGAACATAAGTTCTGAACCTGAATCGATGAGAAGCCGTACGCGCTGAGTAGTAACAGATGAACCGATCTGTGCCAGGGCCGTAGCTAACAATGTTGAGTGAGATGAGCGGACCGAAAGTGAGTGGTTGACAATTGCACCATCTTCCTATTGAGATGACGAGACTGAGCTGGTGGTAGGCTTCGCTGATGAGTCCGACTGATGAGCCTCATGCAGCATGGTGTGGTGTCGGTTGGTGCATTTCTTGCACCCCCGTGAGCTCTTGCATGAGCGGACATTGTGGCGGCCGAGGCAATTGAAGCAGAGCCTCCGTGAGATGACTAACTTTTGTCGATCGCCCAGTGAGAGGTCTCTGAACCTTGTGCACGTCACAATGAAGTGAGTGCCGTTGCAACAATCACACGGGAAAACCGTGGAGCTGTCAGATGCTGCCGTGCGGGTCGGTTGAGCTGCCGCATGATGAGCTGTCGAGGTGCGCTTTGCTGTTGAATGAGCGCCGACAGCCATGAGACTTCAAAATATGCATGCTCCTTATTGAGAAATGCCTTGTGTCTCGAGATGCATTGAGATTTGAATGACTTCCTCTAACGGCGACTTCCTCTGCACAAGCTGGCAGCGTCTTGCCAATATTCTGCACCGTCGCAAGGCGGTTCATCTGCGTTTGAACCTTGAGGATGAACGCACCGGTGAGGCTTGGCGTTCTGACGTGCGCTTGTCTTCCGGCAGCTGGAGCAATGGCGGGGTCTTGCCGCCCGTCCCGGTGTTGGCGAAATCCGTCATGATGAGCCGTCACTGAGCAGCGCACGATGAGACACCTGAGAAACGTCGAGACACGTGTAAGAACTACTGCACGAGATGAGAACGTTTGAGAAACGCGTGAGAAAATCATTACGCGAAGCAAGAGTCGTTGAAGTCATGTATTGAGCACGTGATAACGTCTATATTACACTCGCGAGAGCGCGTGAACATGTTTGTACTTCACTCGCGAAAGCGCGCGATAATGTCTACGTGGCATGTCTTGAAGGGCATCTGTGTCTAAGTTACACTATAAGTTCCACGCATCCGGCTCGAAGGATCAAATGTTCGCGAAATCGCTGTATTTCCCGGCGATGGAAGCGGGATGAGAAGAACGCGCGTGGAAGGTGTTAACAAAGTATTTCGGTAATTTTATGTGTAACTCAGACCACAGTCTGAGCCGTCTTTAATCCGTCAAAAAAAATACATCTGACCTGAAATTTGATGAGCAGCGTATAAATGAGAAGTCTTTTAATGTCTGTGAGTGGGCGAGACAATTATACTAATTGCCCTCCTCGTGGTGAGTTTTCCGTGAGCCGGTGTGACACGTGGCGGTCGGCACTCGCGCACGTGTGATCCTGAGTCGTCGTGTTGATGTACCGGATTTGAGCTAGATAAGCGGTCGCTTTACTTTTTAAGAGAGTTTCTGGGCAGCTTCAATCACTGCGGTGGGCACTTCAATTCGCTGTAACACTCGAATTAAGCACAGAGCACACTTCGTACGTCTGGTCACTGCGCGGCCATTTGTACGACTGTGTTTGTCGCGAGGAATACGTTGGCGATGAGCGCGCCCGTGCTTGCGCAAACTGCCGCGTCGCTCCGGCCGGTCGTATCCGATCGATGCTGCCATCTGATCGGATGGCGCAACGTGAACGGAATCTCGAACAATATATATAAAGATATATATTAACCACCAATTCCAATAGATATGTATTACCACCAATACCAAAAATATTACCACAATTATATTATATATTATATATATAACCACAATTTCAATAATATATCCTGAAATAAAAATATGTAAGGATATATATATATAAGGATATATACATATATATAAGGATATATATATATGATATATATTCTGAAATAAGAAAAAAGGAAAACCTGAAAAAAATAATAAATATAATTTAAAGAATAATTTAAATGTAACGACGCAAAATCCGTTATAATACAACATAACATATAAAAATTGCAAACATTATAAGTAATTTTTAAAATTTTTATAAAAAAGCAGAAAAGTATTATATTGGATTTCGATTCATTACATTGAACCTATCACACCTCTTTCTTTTAATACGTTTATCACACGGGGTCAATTTGACCCCAGCCAATTTTTAAGCACTGCTGTAAAAAAAACTAACAGTTTAATTGGATCGTAAAAAATTCCAGAATTAAGTTTAAACATTGTAGAATGTTTTTGTTATAAAAAATAACTTTTTGAGCATTATGTTACAAAAATGTAAATTCTTGAAAACAAATCATAACTTTTATTTTTCTGTTTCTTTTTTCAAAATTTTGCATAATATTCTTAAGATGTTATTTTAATAAAAAAAAAAAAATAGTCTGGAATCACTTTAACTCCGTGTGACAACTGAGGATTAACATTTTTCTCATTATTACATATAATCAAAGATGTACATTATTTCAAATGCATATCTAATATTTTCGTTAATAAAAGAGAAATTATTTTCAAACAGCCACACAGTGGGCCAAAATAACAATGTAGCTGGACAAAAGTCATTTTTTAAAGATTAATATTTTTTTTAAATAAATAATTAATTTTTAAGAAAGATATCTAAACTATCTTAAGAAAGATAATTTTTTTTCTACAATATATTTTCTACTATATATACTTGCAGTTATGTTATATCATTTAAATAAGTCATATAAATGTCATCCCGCAAAACATTAAGGGGATCCTAAAGCCGTCTGTAATACCGGCTTTTTTTCTTAGCACTAATCTTTTAATTGACTTTATAGAAATGCAAAATTCTTGTCTAGAATTAAAGTACGCATCAAAATCTAGGTCATGGTGGTCAAATTTATATCGAAAACGACAAAAAATTAATATTTTTGTTAATTTTTGGTATACGTGACGACAATATTTGCTTTGTACAAAAATTCCACGATAAATATCCACAAAATTAGACCGGCATGACCTAGGAACAACATTTAAGAACAATATCGTGCAATTAAATCTAAGATTGAAAACCTAGAAAAAAAGATTACTTTTTATAACTTTTATATGTGTAAAAGCACATTCAGGTTGACAGGATAAGCAATATTGCGTGTGGCAAAAGATGGCGCAGTAATCGAACAAAGACAGATGCCTCTCGTTAGACAAAGACAGATATAGATATATGACAAGAAAACAGAATTAGAAATGTTGACATTATCGACGTCGAGGAAGTTCAGCCTTCACTTTAGGATCCCCTTAAATCATTACTTTTGTAGCGCTCGAAACAAGAACGGTAAAACTTTAAATTAGATAAATATAGAAAAAAGTAAATATTTTTTAATTCCATTAACAAATCTTAGAATAGTTTGTTAATAATAGCGGTATTTTAAGTCAAACATTGCCAATTTTTAATTATGAAATTTCTTAAGTATGAAACTTAAGGTCTACAAAAAATGTGCTGCGGGATGCCGCCGTCATTTTACTACTAGCATTATTTCTTACACATTTCTGATTTTTATTTTTTAAAATTAGCTGCCGCCAAGTGCCTATTGCCTACATATAGCGTTTTTCAGATATTGACATCTATCTTGATTTTTTATAGTTTCTTGATTTTTATCGAATTTATCATAAATTTATCACACTAAAAATAGTCTAATAATAGACCAAAATGTTTGTTAAGTTTTTTAATTAAAGTTTACGATACTAACATCTTGTTATGGCTCTGTGCACTTTTCAGTAATTACTACTACTTTATCAAGCATTTAAAAAAATAGCTCAAAACTCAATTTTTTATAAGGAATAGCGCTATGTAGTTGATAAACAGTCTTTCTTCTAGAAACACTCTGTATATTAAATGTTATCAAATTAGACTGATATACATTGTACATACAAGTTTAACTTTCTATTTTAAAGATCTATTCTCAAGACCAAAGATTCTTTGATTATCTGCAAAGTCTTACTGCGAAAAATGTCACGATATACGCAGTAGACGAAAGATCCGTCGTATTTCCAAGAGTTCCTTTGATAAGAGTAGAAGGACCATTAATAATGGTATGTACAGCTCTTGAAAACGACTCTGTTAACATTGGTCAACTATGCGAGTCTGATGGCGACCAACGCGGCGAGATATCGCATGGTTGCCGGGAAAAATATCACGTTGCTTGAGTTTGGTCTTCGAAGAGCGCAAGGACCCGATGGAGACTTGAGCGCGTCTAAGTACAGCTATGTTAGTGGAGAATAGATCTTGAGAATAGAATATAGATCTTGAGATACTTGAGAACATTTGTTTAAAGATCAAATTAAGTTGATATACATTGTACAAGTTTACTTTCTATTTTAAAACACTTGAGAACATTTGATTAAAGATAAAACCAAAATTACTATATTTGTCTAGCTAGATTGTAGTTTTAGCCCACAGTGAGTCACTATTTTCTTAAAATAGCACAAATCGAAAATCCGCTAGAGAAGATTTAAATTTCTTCTTTAAGATGATCACATCATTTTTGCTTTCAAACCATGTGGCCGGTATTCATCATCTAAATCGGTCCCTCATTACTGAGGATCGTGACCACATGAATCGTGGACCATCTGTCGCCATGATTCCCTGTCCTCAGCTCGGCGCATCGCCTCGTGGATGGATCCCTGTGTGGTCTTTCTGACGGCATCGCCCCATCTGGTCGGAGATCGGCCTCTGCTTCTTTTCCCCTCGATCTGATCAACGATCATAAGTCTCTCCAAGTTGTTCGGCTCGTGTCTGGAGATGTGTCCGAAGAACCTCAAAATACGCCTTAGGCAGATCGTAGACAGGCGAGTTCGAATTCCGAGTTCTTGCAAAATTGACGCGTTTGTGCGATGGGCCGTCCAAGGCACACCCAGCATTTTCCGCCAGCACAACATTTCGAATGCATCTATTCTGCTTCTCAATCTTGCCTTCAGTGTCCATGTCTCGGCAGCATATAGGAACACTGAGAAAACCAGGGACTGGACTAGTCGGACCTTGGTCTTCCTGCTCATGCTACGATTCCTCCAGATTTTGCCGAGCCGCCTCATAGCATCCTTTGCCATTTGGCTGCGGCGGCTTACTTTCCTGTCGCAGCTTCCATCATCGCTGATTACGGAGCCCAGGTATACGAAGTCCGAAACCACCTCCAAATCACGGAACTCGTGTGTGTGCTGCAGGGTCCCGGCACGATCGATGAACATTAGTTTGGTCTTGCTTCTGTTTATGTGGAGTCCCAGTTGCATACTCTCGACCTCCACCCTACGAAGCAGCTCCGCCAGGTCGTTTTCGGTTGCACCCAAAATCGTGGTGTCATCCGCGAACCTGAGATTACTGATCTTTCTCCCAGTTATCCGGACACCCCTCGTCCAGCCCTCCAGCACTTTGCGCATGATATATTTGCTGTAAAGGTTGAAAAGCTTCGGTGATAAAATGCAGCTCTGTCGCACTCCCCTTCGTGCTGAAAGGCCCTGAAGTGGCATCCTCTAGTCGGACTCTACATGTGCCATCCAGGTACAGGTTTTGCACAAGGAGTATCAAGTGTTCAGAAACTCCCATCTCTCCCATCACCTCAAACATTCTGTTCCAGCTGACGCAGTCGAACGCCTTGGCATAGTCAATGAAACACATCAGTAATGGCACATTAAATTCTCTATTCTTTTCAATCAGCTGTCGGACGTTGAGGATTTGTTCGCGTGTGCCTTTTCCTTTGACGAAACCAGCCTGTTTTTCTGAGATATGCCGGTCGATGTAATTTTCTAATTTTGCCTTAATTATGCTCAAGAGTATCTTACTAGCATGTGACAACAGTGATATTGTTCTGTAATTTTTACATTTGCGGGTTGAACCTTTTTTGTGCAGAGGGACAAGTATAGACTCAGACCAATCATCCGGCCATCGTCCAGTACTCCAAACCCTCTGGCAGATCAAGTGGAGCATGTGCGTGCCCTTTGGGCCTAAGTTCTTGAGCATTTGGGCTGTGACTCTATCGCCTCCGCTAGTTTTGTGTTTCAATCTTGCCATGGCCCATTCTATCTCCGCAAGAAAAATGTCCGGCTCCCTCACGCCGCATTCGCTCATTCTCAGTTCTTCTGAATCCTCTGTTGCCGCGTTCAGACCTCGGCAGTATTCCCTCCATCGTTCTAGCACCTTGTATCCATCTGTGATGATAACTCCCGTATCATCCTCCAATGTCCAGTTCTTGATCTTAATGTCCTTTGTCAGTGACTTGACTTTACAAAACATGTCTTTTGTGTGTGCCCTGTTGGATGACTCCTCGATCTCCTGACACACTCTGTCCACTTCTGCATTCTTGTCCTTACGGCAGAGTCTTTGGACAGTTCTGTGCAGCTCGCGGTAGTGCCTTCTATCATCTTCAGTGCTTAGACCATTCTCTTTTAAGGTTCTGCGGCGCAAGACGGCGGACCAGGTCTCCTGGCTCATCCAGTCAGGTCTGCTACGCGGACCCCGGCGTTGTTGTACAATGGTCTCCGCAGAGTCTATTACTGCTGTTTTTAGTCTGACCCACATATCATTGGCTGATTCTATTAAATCCGTCTCCATTCCTAAAAGCCTAGTGTGCATGTCCTGCCTGAACTGCAATATTGCATCACTTACTGGCTTTATGGACGATTTTGAGCCGGGATTTAAACTCCGCAACCAGCAACTGATGGTCGCTTCCGCAGTTCGTCCCAGGTAGTGTCTTGGCATTAGTAATGGACGAGCGCCGTCTGGTGTCAATTAACACGTAGTCATTTTGGTTTCGGTATGCACCTCCTGGTGACATCCACGTATACAGCCTTCGTGGATGTTGCTTGAACCAAGTATTCATGATGGTGAATTGGTTACCTATGCAGAATTGCAGGAGCATTTCTCCTCTCTCATTGCGGACCCCCAAACCGTGCTTTCCTACTGTTTGGTTAAGGTGTGTATCGTGCGTAGTTTCTCCCACTTTTGCGTTAAAGTCGCCCAGCAGGACGGTAGTCTCCTTCCTCGGTTTCACACGGCAGGCTGTCTCAAGCTTTGCGTAGAAATCAGAGATTTCTTCCTCCGTACACTCGGTTGTAGGCGCATACACCTGGACGATGTTCAGGGTGTGCGGGCGGGCACCAATTCTAATCTTGATTATTCTGTCATCAATCGCCTCATAACCTAGTACACAGTCCCTCAGGTTCTTTGCAACAATAAATCCAACTCCATTGTTGCTCCTTTCACCGTTACCAGCAAGGAATATCATGTTTCCGTTTCCAGTTTTGAAGTGTCCATTATCTTTGAGATGTGTTTCACTCAGGCCCAGTATATCTACTCCACATCTTTGCATTTCCGATTCCACTGTCTCTCGCTTCCCTAGTTGTAGCAAGCCGCGGACATTCCATGTGCCTATTTTTATGTGTTGATTTTGTCGTACTTTGGGTTGTTTACCACCAGTAACCCAGTTTTCACAAGAAGCCTGGTGGGTCACCCTCCTGTGGCCGGTCGCTAATTTCATACCAGACGGCCCGGAACCATCTAGGCGCCGAGAGTCAGCCGGATTGCCCGACATATCATTCCTCCTATTGTCCGTATTTATGTGGTTTTTTTGGGATAATATTCGTAGTGGTTTCCCATTGCCTTCTACGCCAGGTTATTTAGAAAGTGCTCGTCACTCACGGTACCCGTAACTTCCGCTTGTTACTCGGCGGTGTTGCTCCACTGGTTTTTGGTCCACCCCGGGTATATTATTTCCCCGGTACCCTCTATTTCTAGCGGGCTTTCCC